TGAGGGTGTTCTTAATAGGCCTTTTAAATTTTCTTTCATGTGTCCCTTTTTTGCCATTTATTCTTGGTGATTTCTTACCATTTGTGCGTCAGTGCATAGATATTTAATGTCATAAGTATTATTCTGATCTTCTTCCAACTCTTACTTGGAGTTGCTGATTATCTTTTGCCATCTTTCTTGGTATTGCTTGTTTGAAGTTTCTCAGAATGTTGCTGTTCCCTTGATACATAGCATCAGTATCAGCTGGAAACTTATCAGAAATGCAGATTCTCAGGACTCATCCCAGATCCACTGATTCAGAAGCTCTGGAAGTGATGGGCATCTGGTTATTTTTAATAAGTCTTTAAGGTAATGCTGGTACTTGCTAAAATTCTAGAACCAATGAAATATTGATATTCTGCAAAATCATAAGCAATTGGAGTAGGGAGCTCAAACTAAATAATTTCAGTAGGCTTCCCTGACCATGGGGTGTTACACATTTATTTAAGTCTATTTATTTTCTTCCTCTTTCCAGTATCAACTTTCAATAGCTCTTTGACCTGTGCTCATTGAGAATCTAATTCTATTGCAGGTGCTGTGTGTTTCTTTCATAGATGTTATGAGTGATAATTCTTTTAACACACTAAGCTCAGTTTTGAAACCACTTTTTTTTTGTATAGACTTTATTTTTCAGAACAATTTTAAGATTTTAGAGAATTTGAGTGGACGATATGAAGGCTCTCTGTCTGCTTTTAGGTTCCCCACCCCCACAGTTTCCTCTAATCCTTAACATTTTGCCTTAGTGTGACACATTTGAACCAATACTGATAGATAGTTATGAACCAGTTTTCATATTTTACACTGGTGCTCACGTTTGTGTTGCACGTGTGTGGGTTTTGACAAATGCATAATGCCACATGCCCCTGCTGCTGTAGCATACAAAATAGTTCCACAGCCTCAGCAGCCTTCATGCTCTGCCTTCTCTGCTCTTTCTCCATCCCCTCAAGCCCTGCTGAGCTCTTCACTGTCTCCACAATTTTGCCTTTTGCAAAATGTCATAGAATTGGAATCATGGCTTCCTCTTTTTGCAACCCTGTAAACTCAGAAGAGCTATGCTAAGTCCAAGTGAAAAACACTTTGCCACTTACTGAGCTAGAATCCAGGCTCAGACCTGCTAGCTTCAAGCTTTGTGTATTTTTCTTCAATGCCATGTTCCCTCTGGAATTGCCAAAGTTCCTGGTTGTTCTTGTTGTTTCTTTTCCTGAATTTTGTTGAATTCACTGTTACAATGAAGGGTTTCTATTTGTTCTTGCAGTGAAGACAAAGTAGTGGAAGTGGCAGAGGAAGAGGAAGTGGCTGATGTTGAGGAAGAAGAAGCCGATGATGACGAGGATGTGGAGGATGGTGATGAGGGAGAGGAGGAGGCCGAGGAACCCTATGAAGAGGCCACAGAGAGGACCACCAGCATTGCCACCACCACCACCACCACCACAGAGTCCGTGGAAGAGGTGGTCCGAGGTAATCCACTGTTGGCTTGTTTATGTTTGTTCATTTGGTTTTTTTTTAATTTCTTGGGATATAAGAAAGTATCATACCAGAGTTTTGATATTTCAGTCTACCCTATTGACACTGCCTTCGCCACCCAAAAAATAATAGTGTTTTTTTTTGGTTTTTGGGTTTTTTTGGATAACAAATAACCCAGCTTCTTGTGAAACTTGTTGATTTTTTCCCCCTTTTGGTTTAACAAGCAGTTCAACAGCTAATTTCAAGTAATAGCATTTCCTGATTATACAGTCTAGTCTGTGCCTTGTTCTAGACCATCTCATTTGACAAACACTAAGCATTCAACCTCCTAGCGGTTGCCCTAGCAGTTGCTACTTTATTTGCATGCTATTGTCTGTTGCTTACCACTGAGACTGTGAGCTCCATGATTGTAAGAAATGGACTCTATTTAGTTAGCCTACAGAGTGCTAGGCTTATAGAAAGTTAAAAAACAAACAAACAAAAAACCCTTTGTTCCAGCAGTAGTTATGAGATTTAACTAAAGATCTGGCAAGTGTCACATTATTAATGCCTCAAAATTTAACTTGGATGAATTTTGTTACGTGTAAGTGGTTTAACTGGGGATCGTGACAATCTCTTCTTCAAGAAGTAGATGCTAGTATCTTAGATTTTGTTTTTCTGTTAATGTTCCTGTTGAGCCGTGAACCAAATGAACAAAAAGACTTCCTTCTTGTCTCCGTGAGACAAAAACAAGTATTTGCTTTCCATTAAACAAACAACTGTTATAGCAACTGGTAAATTGTGGGGTCAGATTGCTTGAAGGTTCTAGAATTAGATTTTAGAAATATGGATTGATTGAATTTGAGTGTATTGCAAATATTTTCAAAGTTTTTCCACAAAAGTTACAACATTGTTAGGCTTCCTCTCACTTTTTATGAAGGTGTAATTATTTCGGCTCTTTTGTTGTATTAGAGCTTAAAATGGGCTACTTTCTCTGCCTGAGTAGGTTCCTAATTATCACTGTTAGCATTGCCTTATGTTGCATTTTTAAATGATTTACATACCCACTCATTTTAAGCATATAATTCAGTGACTTTAATATTTACCAAATGGTTTAACCATCTCCATAATCCAAACTCAGAACATTTTATCACCCCAATAATTTACCTCATACCACATCTCAGTTGATGCCTCTACTTATTTCTGGCCCCAAGCAAAAGCTAATCTTTCCGTCTCCATTGTTTTACCCTTTTCTGAACATTTAATGCAAGTGGGATTACACAATACATGTTCTTTTGTTTCTGCTTTCTTTCACTTAACATTTCTTTACCTTGTAGCTTTTATACCTGAGATTATTCTGAATTGAACACTCAGAATCAGTTCAAAATCCAACTAAAATATTATGCATTCTTTTATTTAAAAAAAAGAACATATAGTTCTAGATGGACTGATTCATGTTATTAGTCCCTACTTAATGAGTTTCTTATTCATTTTAGCACATAAATGCATGTGCAGATAAATCCACATTTCACTTGAACTATGCTGTTTTTGAAATTCCCTGGGAATCCTTTTCCTGAGTATTTTTCAAATGCTTCCTAGGACCAACAAGTGCCAGATTTGATCACATGAATTTGTTAGCTCTGATTTCTTCATCTGAGAAGTCTGATTTTCCAGGACTTCTCTTCTTCAAACCTAAACAATATATAATCACAAATTATAGTAGGTAGTATTTGACAGTGGGGATGAAGTTCTTTTGATGTCCATCAAGGTAGTTGTTTATGTAATAGTTAAAGTCTGTTTACTCAACCTCAGCGTATGAGCACCTGTATGACATAAGCCATTTTGCTAGGCCACGTGGAACATATGATGAACACCCCCAGGCTGGCTGACCTTCATGGGTGCTAAAATCTAGTAGAAAATCAAAGCCAAAGAAATACAAACTCAGTCTGTTTTATAAAAAATATGAACATGGAGCCTCCTTCAAAGACGAGAGAGAACTACAGATTGATCAAAGAAGGTTCCAGGGAAAAGATGGCATTGGAACTAGGACTGGAAGCACAGGCTGCTGATAGATTTTGTTGTACAGCACATTAGCATCAATAGGGAGTAGCAAATTAGTATGGTGCTGTGGGATGGTATGTGGCATGATTGGGAGCCCGGGTTGGTCTAGTTTGAGTTAGAGCAGATGTCCTACATAATAGAGTTTGAGGAAATAAGGTTATGTGGAGGCCTTCAGTGCCAGGCTGGCAAATACGGGCATTAACTGGGATGATTAATTTTCCAAGGACTAACTCAGGATCTACATGTGCTGTGGATTTTTCAAGAAGGCAATGGAGAGATTTGAATGTGATGTAACTGCTGTTGAGGTGTCAGGTGATAAGGAATGACCTAATTTATGCAAGAGGGGAGAGGTTACCAGATAAACGTGGGCTCATATTGCACATGAAGGCAGAGTTCTCTTGAGATCATGTGGTCTTGTTACCTTCTCAATTAGTCTAGTCATTTGCTTTTCAGTTTTATGTGTAGAATTGTTAGGACATATTAAAGCAGAACATAGAAGAACACACATGTCCTAGTATTTTCTACAGAAAGACAAAGGCAGTTAAAAGAATTTTTTTTAAAAAAAATCTTTAGATTTAAGGTTTAATGTAAGAGAAACAAAAAAGAAACCAAAAAAATAACTAGTTTAAAATATAACTAGTTAATAATATTGATTGCAAGAAGAGCCATAAAAGCAACCTTCTGAAAGCTAGTGTCTTTTAAAGGCACTTAATGCCAGAAATTAAAGAAACTTTTAATAGGAATCCACCCATTCAAAGTCTCCTGAAGTGGACAAAAGATATAACAGAGGCAAAGCTTTCTGGAAAAGAAGGCCTAATGTTATGGTATGTTGTATCCACGTGAGAGAGTTTTTTGTAGTCCCAGCTAATTCCAATGAAGACATAAATGTTTCAGATGGTAGCATTAAATTGTTAGCAGAAGGTAAAAATTGCCCCAATCAAGAGCAATGGCCAAGCCATAGGTGATTGCTCACTATGTAAAACTCTAAGTAGCCTGCTTCTGCAGGCTGAAAACAAACATTGACAGTGACTTGCAAAGAAGAGACAGTGAAAGAGGCATGCAATCTCATTTTCAGTGTTAAGGCTTCAGCCCCTGATGGAAACTGTGATTTACAACCCAAAGAAAATTGTTTCATCATCACCAACCTATTGCTACTAACACCAGTCCTTAACTGCTTCATAAAAAAAACTCAGTACTTTTGTGACCCATTAACATTTGGAAGAAACAGAGGAAATAAAAATAGAAGACATTTCAGCCTGGTCATAAAATTTTCAGCCATGCTGTGTGAGCATCAGTGATACCAAAGTGTGAGAGGTCTATTCTGTGTTTCTGATTTCAGAGGAAAAATGCATTGAAAGTAAGCACATTATTGCAAAACCCATTTGACTTTCAGGTTTCTTGTTGTCTTTGGTAATTAAGAAAAAGTGGGATATTGATCTAGTAGAATAGCCATTTCCAAGTTAAGTAAAACCATAACACAGATAGACACTTGCTCCTAATTTTTCTGTGTTTGGAGAAGAGATGTAGGGGTAGTTTCTGATTGAGCTGTGAATTTCCGATTAGGTGTTAGAATTGTAATAAATGATATAATCTTTGATTTAATCTAGTCGGTTTTGTCCATCCAGGGCAACTCTGCTTTTTACCCTATGTTGATTTCTTCAGCAAGCATTCTTTGTGCCCTTCCTCTCTGCTGGGTTCTTCCTTAGGTAGAAGGTATGATGGGGGTACAGCAGAGCAATTGTGGTGGGCCCAAGTTGAAATCTTTTATTGTAGATAGAAAATTTCAGGATCGCCCTCTCCTTGCCCTTTAAGGTAGCAGTTCCATCTTTAACAATTTTTACTTTTCTGTGTGATCGAAATTTTACACCCCACATAAGGCCTTAATTTTTTTTTTTTTTTTAAATCGCACAGTCATCTGACCAGTAAGTGGTGAAGGCAGGATTTGGGCCCAGTGCTCCAGGGCATTTCTGCTGCACTAATTCCCAAATTATGCTTTTACTTCACTTTTCTTTATAAATACACCCCAGTCAGTTTAACCTGTGTTCCTTTGTAAGTGCTTATTGCTTTGCTACAGGCATGCATTTATCTTATTATCTTTTCCACACTGAGCATGTCTAGAAATTTAGAAAATTGTATATAAATAATCATCCAATCCCATTTATTTGCATTTTGCCTATGGCTTATTCATGCTATAAAAGCAGAATTGCAGTTGTAAGAGATATCACAGACCCTGTAAATCTCCAAACATGCCTTTCCAGAAAATGTTTGCTAACCCCTGATATTATCCCTAAGAAGATGCTACCATATCAAGTTAGTTTCCTTCAGGAAGTTGTTTTGTTTTTGTGGTCAAGGGCAGACAAGTATAATGTTTAAAGAGAATTTTTAATAATTTATGACGTTGGGCCAATTAAATAATTTGTTTTTCACAGATAGAGTATGGGTGCTAGTGTTACTTTATGTGTGCCTTGTGAGAACAACTAGATAATCTATGTGAAGTATTGACCATAATGCCCAGTACATTCAGTAATGACTAGTAACTGTAAGGAGAAATTTCTAGTAACTGTTAAGTTTCTTTCATGAGCAAAGGCTGCCAAGATACAAATCCCATCTATAGCTACTAAATGTAAATTTGTATACATCAAATAAGCTTTAATCCCCATGGCTTCTCTCTGTAAAATGGGAATTAGTAATACCTATCTGATAATTTAGCTACTTTTTGAGAATTAAATGAAGTGATACATGGTAAACATATAGCACAGGTCCTGATAGACAGAGCTCAGTTAACCTCAGCTGTTGAGATTGTTGTGGTTGTAATCATCATTCAAATCCTCTAGTGTGTTCTGAACATTAGAGAACCAATGTTTCCTGCAAATTAAGAATGTTAAAGGGAAGCCATCAAACTGACTTTTTTAATTATAAAAAGAATAAATGTAATATGACTGTTATCTATTGAT